TAACTCGAATTAAAAACTCGAATCAGCGAACTAAACGAGCCCATATGTAGCCTCTCTTAAATTAATAGTTTTCTATTTTTTTAGACCAACTATTTGGATTTAAAAAATAAAATATTCAATTTTATTAACTCCATATACATGTTAGTATAATTTCGATAAAAAAATAAATAAATTTGACCACTTACCAATAAATCCCGGTGACAAATAAATACCCTGGATATAGTTTTTGAGGCTACTATCATTTATTGAATGTTGAGCATTTTCAAATGGGTGTTTAGAATTTGAATTTTATAACAATTTAGTTTTAGAATAAATATTTTTACAAATTTATGTTTAAATTAAATTTATTTTCAGTATATAATTTATCATAAAAAATATTTTATGTCTCGTATAGTTCCTATACTTGAACTCATAATTTTGATTCTGCTATAATATTTTTTTTATCTCCCGATGAACTTAAATTCTAAAATTTCTTCTCTCAAAAAGTCTCCACCAATGAATTAAAATCGCTAACTTGAACACGTGAATCAAAATGACCCTTAATTTTAATATAACGAGATGTATAATTGATTTTTTATTTATTATAATTGAGAAATTTGTAATAATCATAACAATATTTTTTAATAATATCTTTTTTACATTTACAAATTCATTCAAGAAATCCCACGTTTTATTGACTAATTATCAACGTCTTCTCTAAAGTTTTTTAATATGCCTCCTAATAGCATGTCATGTCATCAAATTAATTTGACATATAGACAGGAGCGAACATTTTGAATGATTTTTTAATATATTAAAGGATGTTTTGAACGACAGGGACCACTTTGAAGGAGGGTAATTTTTTAAGAGCATTTATAAAAATAATCTAAAATAAATGCTCTCAAATGTGTAGATAAACATTATTTTTTGTAAATTTTTTTTCCAAATATAACCCCAATAAATATGTTTCTTTGATTGCCTTGCTAATATTATTTCTTCTTAAAATTGTTCCTATCTAAAACTTTTATTTATGCAGGCCTCTCAAAATACTTTTTCATGAGTACCTATAAATTGTTTATTATATATTTTTCCCTGCTATTTTTTGTTTTTGTTTTGCACGTGTTATACTTAATTACTTTTTACCAAACTAAAGTTTTAAATAAAGAAAATCTGAACTAAAATACAGTAACAAAATGAATACGCAGCTATGTACGCACAAAAGGCGTGCTTTCAACTAATATATATATATATATATATACGAATTTTTAATATTACATTTCTATCGGTGTTTATCATTAAATATAAAAATTTAATAATGTAATGTGATAAGAATTTAAGTTCTTTAATTGTCATAATTTTTTTAATCAAAATTTTAATTAATTACAAACGTCATATTAATATCTTATAATTAAAATAATGATATCCATCGATGGATAAATAATAGAATAACCATTAAAACCACACACAATTGGGATTGCAATTGGGCGATGACTGACGGGACGGGTATGCTTCCCCACCCCTATACCCTCCACCCTTTTGGCACCCCATACCCACTCCCATACCTATTTAATTTAAGGCGGGGTCGGAGTCGGGGATTCCCCACTAAAAGAATAATTTCCATACTCTATTCATTTACCTATTAAAAAATAAGAATTTTAAAAAATTATAACATTATTATATTCAAAACAAATTTCATTAAACTTGTTATAAAATGTATCAATCTAGCTATTAATATCTCATAAAAATAAACCTAAAACAAAATTGAAACTCTAATAATCCATAAACTAAATTTGTAAAACAAATCACAACATTAAAATATTAAAAAAATTATTCTTTTTCCTTGCACATTCCCTCCATAACTGCATGTGAACATTATTACTTATCCTTCTTAAGCATTATAGTTTATCGATCATCTATAATTACTCATAATTATATATCTCATTTATGATTCTTTTATAAAATATAGCACACACATATATAAAAATATGTATTAAATAAAAGTACATATAATCAAGTGGGGTCAGGGTTGGGGACAGGGGAGCTTCCCCCAACCCTACCCTACTCCCAACTCAGGGGTTAACCCCCATATTCGCCCCATCTCCATATAGCATCTTCCATACCCATCCTATTAAAAACGGATATCCACAAAAACATGTATCCACGGGTAAGATTGCCATTCTTAACACCCAGATAGATATATATATATATATATATATATATATATATATATATATATATAATATATATTATATAAATAAAAATATCTTTCT